GCGGGAACCAGTCTCCACATGGGATCTGAACCCTCAGCGGGAGTGCCGCCGCGCTCCCAAGGGGCGCACTCTCCAGTGCGCCACCGGGTCAGCCCCATACATAATAATTAATTCTTGAAATGAATCACAGATCTTAATCTGTGAGGTAAAACTACAAAACTTCTAGAAGAAAACATAGGAGAAAATCTTAGTAACCTTGGGTTAGGAAAGATTTCTTAAATATAAAACAAAAAATATAAACTAGAAAAGAAAAGAATGGATAAATTGGACTTTATCAAAATTTAAAACTTTTTTTTTTTTTTTCCTTTTTGTCTTTTTTTGTGTCCGGCAACGGATCGCAACCCTCAGTGTCGCGCCCGTACCAGACCAGGACCGGCAACGGGATTGCAACCCTCGGTGTTGCGTCCGCACCTCGCTCAGCCAGTGAGCGGGAACCGGTCTGTATGTGGGATCCGAACCCTCGGCGGGAGCGCCGCCGTGCTCCCAAGCGGCGCACTGTAGCAGTGCGCCACCGGGCCGGCCCAAAATTTAAAACTTTTAATCTTCAAAGATACTATTACTACAAATGAAGAGGTAACCAGCAGACAGAAAATATTTGCAAAACATGTATCTGATAAAGGACTTGTATCTAGAATGTATTTTGTGTTTTCCTATATTATCACCACCAACAAGCATTATTTCCTTTTATCTTTGTCAATCCTGTGGCTTAAAAAATCTTGTTTTAAATTTGCTGTTCATATTAGTGACACTGGACTTTTTTTATTTTTATTTTTTGGTGGCTGGCTGGTATGAGGATCCAAACCCTTGACCTTCATGCTGTAACACCATTCTCTGACCAACCGAGCTAACCAGCCAGTCCTGGGCATTTTTAAAATATGCTTATAGTCCATTTCTATTTCTTATGTGAATTGCTCATTCTTATCCTTTGTCACTTTCTGCTAGGTTGTCTTTCTTACTGGTCTGTAGGAGCTCTTTAAATGATATGGACCCTTTGTTTTATAGTAACAGGTATTTTCTTCTAGGCTGTTAATTGAGCAGGTTTAAAAATTTGATGTGAATACTTCATTCATTTCCTTGATGGTTGATAAATTTTGAGTTTTGCTTAGGAATGTGCTCCCCACTTCAAGATTATGTAAATCTCCCCCTACAACTTGTAATGTTGGATTTTGTTTGTTTGTATATTTTATGTTTAGCATTTTATCAACTCAGAAGTAATACATGTGAATAATGTGAGGTAGGGTATTGTTGTTTTAGATTCAGTAACAAAAATAAATATTTTACTGCAAAATATTTTCAGGTAAGTAATTCTGGAAAGATAATGGAGATAACTTTTTTCTAAGCAGTAACTTAGAAGAAAACACTTGTATGTTCTTATTTGTGAAGCAGCTATATATTGTGAAGTTCACTGTAGGGTAAATTTGCTGCTTATTAACATTCTTGTTACTTAAATAAGTCCATTAACTTCTCCATCTAATTATTAGAAGCATAGATTTGTGTTTTCCAATTTTTTCAGCATGTGACAGACATCAAGTAGATATCTGATGGAAGCCAGTGCCTGCAGGTAATCTAGTTCATAGTAATGACAGATCTTTTAAAAAGTAGATGACTATCTACAGTAATGAAGACACAGGGAAAGAAGACAGAAGAAAGGAGCAAGAGGAGATAGGAAAGGCAAGACAGAAAAAACCAAAGAAAGCACTGAAAAGAAAAGAAAGAGAAAAACAGAGAAGTTAACTTTTATCTGGTGAGGGAGGTGGTTTTCTGCTGTCTCAGGCAATCTTTTAGAAATTATCTCAGGCCCCATAATGATAGCAGTAGTGTGGTTTTGTTGTTGTTTTGTTTATTTAGTTTTTGTCTTTTGTTTTGAAGGTGAGATGGACTTCTGTAGTTCTAGTGGCTAGTGGATAACACTGTGTTTTGTCTTTTTTTGATAGTCTGTCAAATGTACATTGTTAAATAGGCTTGGGATTTTTGCATTCATGATTCTTTATTATTTCCTTTAGGCAGTTGAGAATCTTGAACCAGAAACTTAGAGAACAAGAAAAAACTCATAAGGCATCTGGTACTATGGAATGCAATCTTGAATGTAGGTAAAAATAAATAAATAAATAAATAAGCTTTAAGTATTGATGTTAAATTCTATATGGCTCTGGAAATATTGATAAAGAATAAACTTTAATAAAGAATGAACTTTCTTAATTACTCTGTCTAGGTGGATTTTCTTTTCTTTTTTTTTTAATCAACTTTAAAAAAATAGGAATAATGCTTTTTTATTAAAATTTAAAATAATGCAGAAACAAGCCAGTTAGCTCAGTTGGTTAGAGCATGGTACTACTGATTGACAGTAAAGTCAGGGGTTCAATCCCTGTACTGGCCAACCGCCAAAAGAAAAAAAAAAAAAAAGAAACACAAAAATAAAAGATCCATGCTATTTTCGAAATAATACACACTCTATATAAAAGAAAAAGGCTATATTTCCTTTCACATATCTTCTGTTCATGTGTAATTGATCTGTTTCACAAATACTTACTGAATACCTATTATGTGCCAGGCACAAATAGAACTACATATGTACCTTTTCATTTTTAATAATAAGATTGCATTGTATATACTGTTACGCAGCTTACATTTATTTACTTAATATATAGTGGACATTTTTGTTAAATCAAAATTCATAAATATGCTTCTTTTTCCTTAAGAACTACTTGGGTATTCTGTTTATGCAACTCTGCTGTAATATATTTAAGGTCCTCTGCTGGTAGATATCTAGGTACTTTTGCCTTTTTTCCTAACGCAAACAGTGCTACAGTGAAAATCCTTGTACATGTGTCTTTGTGCACATGTTAGCATTTTTATAGGATAGATTTATAGCAGAATTGCTGAAACAAAGGGTATAACGAGGGATCTTCAAAAAGTTCATGGAAAGATTCATATTATCTTTTAATTCTATATTTCCATGAACTTTTAAAGTACCCTTATATACAGTGGCAGTTTTGACAGATATCACCAAATTGTCCTTATGTATCACAGAGTTTGATAAAGAAAAAAACTGTAATAGTAATAGAAGAAAAGATGATTTTTTTAAATTTTTTTTTTATTTTTGGGAGTTTTCTTAAGCCTGACAGAAACCCAGATGCCACTGGGGAACAAATTAATAAAATAGGTCCCCAGAAATTTTTTTCAATTTTCAAAGAAAAATATAAAGGATCTTCAAAAGGGTTTGTGGAAGGATTCATATTACCTTTTAATTCCATTTTTCCACAGACATTTTGAAGTACCCTCATATGAGCACCCAACAGAATGAGCACTTCATAGGTGTGTTCATTGTCTCAAAGTAATTTCAGGAAAAGATCACTCTGGTTCCACTCTGAACAAAAGATGAGAGTAAAGAGAGGAGGCCAAGAGGGCAACTGGAGAGATCAGTGGTCTAAGTAGCTTCTCTGTTTTTATTCTCTATTTATCTTACTGTTTCTTTCTTTTTTCTTTTGGTGGCTGGCCAGTATGGGGACCCGAACCCTTGACCTTGGTGTTATCAGCATCACACTCTTCCCAAGTAAGCTAACCAGCCAGTCTTATCTTACTGTTTCTTTGGGAGCATTTATTACTATTTATAATTACTTGTTATTAGCTCCATGAGAGTAGGCACTGTGTCTATGTTGTTCACCTCTGTATATCCAGATTCTAATATAGTGCTTCACACATAGTAAGCATTCACTCAAGGCTGTATTTGCTAAGTGAATGGTGCCATATACATACATACTTTTATGGCCATGAAAAATAGTGTGGTAGATTTGTGGGCTGATACATAACAGTCTTATAAAAAAAAAAAAAGCAGAAACTGGGGCTAGTATGATTCTTTTACGTTTAAATATATATAAGGGGTCATCAAAAAGTTTATGGAAAGATTTGTGTTCTTTTAATTCTGTTTTTCCATGAACTTTTTGAAATGCCCTTGAGTGTGTGTGTGTGTAAATTATTATGTGCAAAAGTATTTTCAAAATTAATAGAGATTGTGGGGAGAGTGGAAGTGGAGTGGAGGGAGACTTTATTGAGACTCATTTGGTATCATTGGTATTTTTGTGGTGCTTGAATTTTTCAACTTTGCTACATGTCTTATTTTTCATTAAATAAGAAAAAAAAAATGTAATACCCAAACTAGCAATTGGAGAAGAAAGGCACGACTTTCTAATCAATTTTTAAAAATACATGTAGTATATAGATAGAACTATTTATGCACATAGTAATTGTTAAGCAAAACCAATAAGTTCCAGGTGTAATACCCAAACTAGCAATTGGAGAAGAAAGGCACGACTTTCTAATCAATTTTTAAAAATACATGAGTATATAGATAGAACTATTTATGCACATAGTAATTGTTAAGCAAAACCAATAAGTTCCAGGCCTTTCTTTTTTAAAAACAAATCTTTTCCAGGTTTGTGCTTTTTAAAATTGGAGAAACAAGTATTTGATTTGTTTTGTTTTACAGTGTTTTCTCTTCAGTCATTGAATATATCACTACAAAATCAATTGCAAGAGTCACTAAAGAGCCAGGAATAAAAGACATTTCTTATATCTATGTAGAATTATAATTGATAGGCTTTAAGCAAAGTTTCCAAATGTTGGCTTATTCAAAGTGAATAGAGAGAATGTCTCTTATGGAAGCCTTTGTAAGGTCTCTGAAGAAAAGTATTTCCTCTTTTCTGAAGAGTAATTTTTGGGTGAGAACTTTGTTAGTGTCAAGTATTTATGTTAAAAGAAGCCAGTAACAAAAGGCCACATATTGTATGATTCCATTTATATGAAATGTCCAGAATAGGCAAATCCATAGAGATCCAAAGTAGATTAGTGATTGCCAGGGACTGGGGAAGAGGAGGTGAGGTGGAGTGGGGGTGGCAAAAGGGAGTGACTGCTAATGGATATAGAATTTCTTTTTGGGGGCTGAGCCCATGGCGCACTTGGGAGAGTGCGGCGCTGGGAGCGCAGTAGCGCTCCCGCCGTGGGTTCGGATCGTATATAGGGATGACTGGTGCGCTCACAGCGCTCACTGGCTGAGCGCGGTGCAGCGGTCTCAAAAAGGACAAAAAAAAAATTTCTTTTTGGGATGATGAAAATGTTCTGAAATTAGATAATAGTGACATTTGGACAACTCTATCAATACACTGAAAACAACCAAATTGTGTTCTTAAAAGGGGTTAATTTTATGGTATATAAATTATATCTCAATAAACCATCTTTTTAAAAGTATATATGGTATACAGTTCATTTAGAAAAGAAAAGAGAGGAAAAGAAAAAAAGGACAGCCAGTCAGCATGTTCAAGTGCCTTGAAAGGTTGCTTAGGCATTATTGCAAGCATCTCCTTCCTCATTCTAAGAGTCATGATTCTCAGCCCCAAGCAGAAAAGATGATGAAGCAGAGGATCTAGTTAGTTTCCTGGTAGTTTTCTTTTTCTTGGAACCAACCTTTTTTTTTCATACTGCTAAATCTAGCTCCTTTATGGGTACGAATTCACAAGCTGGTATCTTTTATGTATAAATTACTTTGATATTTTTCTAAGTCCTCTCTTTCCCATATCTATTATTTTATTTGTCTTCATCTATGGAGGGAAGATTTTAATGTCTGCATTTTCACAGGTGGGGAAACTGAGGCATGCAAGTTCTTTCCTTGCCCTCTCACACATGGCATGGCTTTTGCTAAAATTGTTCATTTCTGGTAACAACTTCATGCCTAACTTAGTGTAAATAAACCTTAGCATTTTTTACCCTGGAGATAGATGAATGAGTAGATGGATTCATTTGCCTATTCATTCATTATATACTATGTTCCAAATATATGTGTGTGAAATGTACATAAAAGTATTTAATTATTTTAGTTGCTAAATATCCACATCATCAAGCAAAAAGCATACTTTAGTGCTTTACTGATGTATGTAGAGAGATACATCTTTTTTTTTAATGATAATCTTGACTAAATACTATTCAACATGTGCAGTGCATTTACTAAGAAAGTTGATAGCAAAAACATAACAACAGCCTTTCAGAGTAAGTAATAGTATAACTGTTCTAGAAATTAGTAGAAGTGGATGCCCCAAGAAATGAAAGAACTTACCTGACTTTCACAGCTAGTTGATGCCTGGATCTTTCAGAGTAAGTAATAGTATAACTGTTCTAGAAATTAGTGGAAGTGGATGCCCCAAGAAATGAAAGAACTTACCTGACTTTCACAGCTAGTTGATGCCTGGACTGGTACCTGAGTCAGGATGTTGAATTCCCTCTTTAGCTTTGCTTCCTTTTTTGAAGTGGACAGCTTCTCTCCAAGTGAAGATGACCAATTATTGAGGAATTCTTCTACTTTTGTAAAAGATAACTTTGTGTCTGCTCATTTTTTCAAAAGATCACGTAGTCTGCCTTTTCCAGTGTTTATGAGGAAAGTAGGGTTCACTTGTAATTAGAGGCTTCCTTTTCTTAGCATTTACCCTAACATAGAAGTATAGGAACTGAAAAAAGGTTATCAACTGTTGTATACTATCTGCCTTTAGAAAAGACTATATCTAAAAAATAAATTTAAAAAAAGACTATGTTTAAAATATTAGATACAAATTTTTGCTCTCCTTTTCTTTACACTCCACTTTTCTTGTCAGTTTTTTTCCATTTTGTAAGCATTTTTTTCTTTTTATGCTGGGCATAAATCCTGCCTCATGACTACTAGCTCACCTGTTACTCAGATTAACTGCATTCTTATAAATGATTGGAAAAACATGGTGGGAAGGTTTAGTACAGTGCTGCAGAGTTTAGTACTACCCCTACATTTTCTGAAGATTTAGTAACAGCTTCAAAATGGTAAGTATACCTATTGATGTCAATTTTTGTTTTGTTCTTTAAATTAAAAAATAAAACAAAAACATAGTCTTTGAGCTTTATTGTATCTAAATTCATCCACGTTGGTGATTTATAATGTTTGGTGACATCCTATGCAATTCAATCAGTTAGGAGCAACTCTAGTACTACAGCTGGGCTGCTGTGACGACTTTAATTTTACTTTTCACATTAGAGGGTAAAGCAGCAGCATTTGGCAATACAGATAAATCTGTATGCTAATCTACCCTATCCCTCTTCCTATAGTCATACATTTTAGTCAGATAAGTGTATGTTTTTTGTATGTGTCTTTTAAATATTCTCTTAGAAGAGAGATTTCATTAAATTTCTGAATGCCTTTCTCAGACTTTTGGGGAGGAATAAAGGGACTGAAAGATACACGTACAAGGTCTAGACAAATATCCTAAGCCATCTTTCTCTTTCTTCTCCAAACTTCAGTGATTTTGAAATACACCTTTATCATTTTTTTTTCCAGAATTTACTACAACACGTTATAAAATCATTCAAATGTGAGGAAAATTAATATATTTTCAGAAAATAAGTAGTGAATATTCTTCTAATAGCTTTAAGGAGCACTCTTACAAGTGCTGATAGCTATTTAAATTAGTATATTTTTATAAGTAGCCTAGAAAGAACCCTGAGTTTCTTGTTATGAAAATGTGCCAATTTTCTAAGCATTAAAAATCAGTGTGTTTGGGCCAACCCCGTGGCTCACTCGGGAGAGTGCGGCCCTGGGTCCCGCCGGGGGTTCGGATCCTATATAGGGATAGCCGGTATGGTGCGGGCGATGCCAAGCGAAGGGTTGTGATCCCCTTACCGGACGGGGAGAGAGACAGACAGACAGACACACACACACACACTTTAGCTGTATCCTGTATAATTTATAGATTTGTAATTTATAGATTTTTGAGGAGGCTTCATACTGTTTTCCATAATGGCTGTACTAATTTACATTTTCACCAAAAATGTACAAGCATTCCCTTTTCTCCACATCCTCACCAACACTTGTTATCTTTCATCTTTTTGATAATAGCCATTCTGACAGGTGTTAGGTGATATCTCATTGTGCCCTGTCAAAACCCCCAGTGTTTACAGTGGAGCGAGACAGAAGTGGGCCTCCTGCGAAGCATCCAGAATGCTGGGAGAGCTGGATGTCTACCTGCAGCTCTTTTCCCACTGTAGAAACTGTGGGCCCAGGAGAGTCCTTTCTGTGTGATGCTGGGCAACCTTACCACTTGGGAGATGGGCAACACAGAGGAAACCATTCCTTTTACCCTTCTAATGGAGCTTTTCTCAGTTCTGTGGTCCATAAGGGTATGTCAGCCTCACTCCTGGGTTTTGGGATATTCGTTGAAGGTATGCTTATCTTTGGATATTTGCTAGTTGGATTTCTGTGAGGGGAACTGGAGCCAGGGAACTCCTTTTCTGCCATCTTGCTGATGTCACTTTCCTCATTATCATCTTGAAAGAAGTATGAGAAGAAGTGGCCATTGCCATTTGAAAGCAATCAGAAATCAAGACATAGCATGTTTAAGATGAGAGCGCTGGAAGCCAGGTTGGAAAAAATTTGTTTTTCATTTTGTAGGAAAAAAATTATTCATTCAATATCATTTGAAAGCAATCAGAAATCAAGACATAGCATGTTTAAGATGAGAGCGTTGGAAGCCAGGTTGGAAAAAATTTGTTTTTCATTTTGTAGGAAAAAAATTATTCATTCAATATGCAGAAGTATAATCACTACTAATTGTTTAGTATAGAGATATCCTTTTAGTATTTTATGTTTATGTGTGTGATGACTAGTTTTTAAAAATAGTATAGTAATACTACTTTTGGCCTGTTCTTTTTAACTTAACTTTATGTAGTGAACATTTCCTCATCAGTAAATATTCTTTACAACATGACTGTCAATGACTATGATGCAGTTATACCATAATTTACCTAAATCCATTTTTTTTAAGATAAAGATATGTCCATCTATTTTCTATTATAAATATTATCTTTGGGTACAGCCTCTTTGTGTATATCACTAGGATACATTCCTAGAAGTGCAGATTGGTGGTCAAAGGGTATGGAATATACAAATCTTTAAGGCTTCTGTATTGCCAGTTTGCTCTCCAAAAGAGATGAGTGTACACTCCCAGTAGTAGTACCTGCCTCTCTCTCCAAGCTTCTCTAAAAATGGGTATTATTCTTATTTTACTGTTAATTGGATAAGCAAAAAAAAAGGACATTTTAAAAATTTGAATTTATCTGATTAAAACTTGAACATTTACAACATGCTAATATTGTATTTTTTTCTTAATTGTAGATGTTGTTTGTATCTTTGTTTAAATTGTTATGTTTATCTTTTTGTCATTGATTTGTAAAAACATATGTGATTCAATGCAAATGGACTAAAGGTTTGGTATAAAATGTCTTAATGGGACAACCAGTAAAAGCTGCCATCAACAAATAACCATTTAGGCTGACACTGTGCTAAGCACTTCACCATTATATCTTATTATTTTATCTTATTTCATCTTCATTATAATTCTGAAACAGGTCTCTTCATTTTAGAATTAAGGAAATTGAGATTCAGAAAGGTTAAGTGACTTGCCCAAGATCACAGCTAATGGCACTAAGATTTGATTCCATTTCTAACTTCAAATCCTATGTGGTTTTCCTTACATCACAGTTTTCTGGTACCTAGTTGTTACGTTTACTTAATTATGCCAGATAATTCTCTCTAACCATCTTTTTTTTCTAGTATTGTTCCAGTGTCCTTTGTATTTATGTTTTGAATGGAGGAAATTAACTTAATTTCTAATCTATACCAAATGGGTAGTGTACTTTCCATTTTGCTCTGTACCGTAGCCTACTTATATTAAGGCTAATTTTTCACTCTGGCTTAGTTTCCAGTGTTGCTCAAGAATGAAGCATCTCCATACCTTAAAAGAAAAATATTTCTGAGCCTCTATTTTTAGATATAATAGTAGATTTGATGGAGACCAAAATCTTTTATCATTCGTTATTTTAATTTACTCTTGCCAGAACATATTTGATGATTTTGTGCTTTTAGTTGCTTGTTTTCATATTAAGAAGCAGGCACTTGACTCAGAATCCAAAGATGTAGCTATAAATAAATGGATGAAAGAAACAGGTAAAACTAGTAATAATAATAATTAGTGTGCTAAATTCTTCTTAACAGAACTTTACAGAAAAGTATGGCAAAGCTTCTCTCAGATCTTAGTATGGAAAGCACTCGCAGCAAGCCTGGGAATAACCTTACCAAATCACTTCTGAACATTTATGATAAACAACTTCAACAGGACCCCTCCCCTGCTCACACTTCCATAATGAGCTATCTAAATAAGTTAGAAACAAATCACAGTTTTACACATTCAGTGCCACTCTCTATAATTAAAAATGAGGAAACCATGGAGCCAGACAGACCCTATGAAGATGTTCTGCCCTCCAAAGGCCCTCAGCACAGTAATACTAAGGACATGGAGGAAGTGTCAACACCTGGAATTATTTCTACCCTTTCAAAACCGGGTTTTGATGAGAGTGAAACTATGACTTTAATAGGAGATGAGTGTAATTTGGATAATACAATTTACATTCCTTTTGCTAGAAGCACTTCCAAAAAGAAATCACCTCTTTCTAAGAGAATATCCCCCCAGCCTCAGATAAATGTAGCTGCAACACAGCTAGTCAGCAACAGTGGACTTTTTGTCTCTGAAAAAGAAAATAAATTGTGTGCACCTGTAGTTTGTTCTTCAAAAAAGGAAGCAGAAGATGCACCTGAAAAACTTTCCAGAACTGCTGACATGGAGGACATACAGCTTCTCAAGAAAATAAAGGAAGCCATTGGTAAGATCCCTGCTGCCACTGAGGATCCTGAGGAACAGGCTGTATGTCACAGCCTGGCAGCTTGTCACAGCAGCAGCATTCAAGTGAAAGGCAATACTGTCTCTGATGGTAGTTTTTTAAATTCTGACTTGATGTCTGACTGGAGCATCTCTTCTTTTTCAACATTCACTTCTCGTGATGAACAAGACTTCAGAAATGGCCTTGCAGCATTAGATGCCAACATAGCTAGACTTCAGAAGGCCTTAAGGACTGGTCTTCTGGAGAAATGAATTCAGAAGAAAATTTAAGTGAGTGCTTCTTTTTAAGAATAGAACTTGGCTATATTGAAGGTATATTTTAAGTTTCCTTAGAGAAATAATGTTTTATATTATATGTGAAATAATAAATTGCATGAATAATAAATTTATTATTGGAATATATTGTTACTGTGGAGCTTATAAAAACAAGTGATCTTAAGAAATTGACAACTGGTAAGAGAAGAAAGTTGTCAATAACTAGGAAGTTGTTGTAAGTAATGTTTTAATTTAGAACCTAGCAATTCTTTTTATTAATATGTACCTGCTGAGATAGGGGTGTAGGTCAAAAGGATCCTCTGGTTTTCCTAAAGGATAATGGGGAAGGAGTTTCTGGGTACAATTTATTGTATTAAAACTAGAGCTTCTTTTCTGTTTTGGGATACCTGCTTGTTTTTTAATGGTAGTGTGTTTTTATATGGGATGCTCTGCTACAGGCTAATGTTATTAAGTATATAAACATTTCTTTTAAGAAAAACGGTGCCAATATCTCCATCTCTTAAGGAACATTTATTGGTCCAAGAAAATATAGATAACATCCTATGTTAACATATGGCTCATAAAACTTTGGCACTTTTATTTTTATCCCAAATGCATGTTTTAAGGCCTTTGAAAAATAAGTCAGATTGATAAAAGAAATGCTAACAGATAAGCTTTGGTTTTTGAAATGTTTTTTTCTTAAATAAAAAATGTTTATTTCTGTTGGTATATTTGAACATGATGGAGTTTGGAGATTTTGGCACTGATTGTAATTTTGCCTTTCTGGACCAATTTTTTTTTTCTTTCTGGCACTTTAGCTGCGAACATTCTCTATTCTATAAATATGAACTTAGTTTGGAGATTTTGGCACTGATTGTAATTTTGCCTTTCTGGACCAATTTTTTTTTTCTTTTTTTTTTTTTGTGTGTGTCTTTTGTCTTTTTCTGTGTCCGGCAATGGATTGCAACCCTCAGTGTTGCCCCCGTACCAGGATCCTCTGGTTTTCCTAAAGGATAATGGGGAAGGAGTTTCTGGGTACAATTTATTGTATTAAAACTAGAGCTTCTTTTCTGTTTTGGGATACCTGCTTGTTTTTTAATGGTAGTGTGTTTTTATATGGGATGCTCTGCTACAGGCTAATGTTATTAAGTATATAAACATTTCTTTTAAGAAAAACGGTGCCAATATCTCCATCTCTTAAGGAACATTTATTGGTCCAAGAAAATATAGATAACATCCTATGTTAACATATGGCTCATAAAACTTTGGCACTTTTATTTTTATCCCAAATGCATGTTTTAAGGCCTTTGAAAAATAAGTCAGATTGATAAAAGAAATGCTAACAGATAAGCTTTGGTTTTTGAAATGTTTTTTTCTTAAATAAAAAATGTTTATTTCTGTTGGTATATTTGAACATGATGGAGTTTGGAGATTTTGGCACTGATTGTAATTTTGCCTTTCTGGACCAATTTTTTTTTTCTTTCTGGCACTTTAGCTGCGAACATTCTCTATTCTATAAATATGAACTTAGTTGGTCTCTCTGCTTTTATATCAACACTTCTTTACTCAGTATCACCTCCCTCCATGTAAGCAACACATTTTAACTTTTGGAAAGCTGAGTGTTGTACTATCACTAATACTTTGTACGAGTCACCTGCCTAGTATAATTATGTTTAGTACTCGGACAGGCTTTCTGCTGGTCCCAGAACCTCTTCCTGCTGGTTTTTTTGTTGTTGGTGTTACAACTTCTTATGGACCCAGCTACAGTTTCTTTGACATGTCCAGATTCTCCACAGAGACTTTAAGTCTAAAAATATTAAATGTTTTCTAAGCGATTTTCATTGAAGTATCCATTAGCATGTAAAATTTTCTTCTAATATTCATAAGTTAATTCATTAGCTTCTTATTTGGAGGTAACAGGCCACAACTCCTTAACACATAAGCTCAGAAATACAAAATAATAAGGAAGAAAATTGTGTCATCTGTCTACTCCCAAACTATTATCCAAATACAGAAGTAAATTCTTAGGATTGTTATATGGTAATACAAGAAGATTGTCCTATATTTGTCCTTAATATAAAGTAGGCCTACTTATGTGCAAAGGAATTTTAAAAATGCTTGTGTGTTCAATTAATTAGTGGTTAATAATTTGATTGGAGAACAAATGAGACTATACGTTCCTTGAAGGATCTTCAGCAGGAGCTTACTATTTATTTGACAGAAGACATACACATGACATAAGATAGAAACATGAAAGAATTTGGTTAAATTTCAAGTGGAATATGACCCTGGCAAAATGGATGGAATAGACAGCGAGTTTCATAGAAGTTTAAAGCAGAAAGAAGCCAAGAAATGGTAGAGGAACACCTAAAAGAAAAGAAACTTTATTTGGGCCTTGAAGAATGTATAGGTTGATTATCTTTTATCTGAAATGCTTGGAACCAGAAGTGTTGTGGATTTCAGATTTTTGGGGGCTTTGGAATGTTTGTAGAATACATACCAACTGAGTGTCCCAAATCTGAAATCCAAAATATTCCAATGAGCATTTCCTTTGAGCATCATGTCAGCACTCAGAAAGTTTCAGATACCAGATTTTTGGATTAGGGATGCTCAGCCTGTATAGGATTTGGATAATCTTACAAATATCCTCTAATGTTTACCCCATGTACAGTCAGTATCATCAGAATGTGGGGATTGGTTTAATATGGTATATTAAGAGGATGGTGGTAGGCCAACCTGACTTGAAATACAGGGGTAGAGGAAGTGGTAATAATAAATGGTGATAACATAGAAGAGTCAGGGTTAGTTGTGGAATGTCTTGAGCTCCAGGCTGAGGAATATCCATTAAAAATGAAGTCATTGAAGTGTTTGGTTATCTTTGGTGGTGGGTTTTTTTTTTTTTTAATTGAGGTTCACCAGATGGAATTGGGTGTTCTTAAAATTTCACAGAGTGGTAGTAAACAGGAAGGATTAGAGGAAGGAGAGACTGGAGACCACTTAGAAAGCTGTTGCAGTAGTCCAGACATAAATTGATTATTCTTAGGCAATAAAAGTGAAAAAGGAGAGGCAAATTGAAGGAAATTTTTCAATAGGCTTGGTAACTTAATAGGAAATTAAAGAGAAGGAGAAATCAAAGATGACTCCAAGTTTTCCAATTTGATCAGTTTGAGACAAACTGAGCAGTGTCTAAAATTAAAAAATCAAGTTCTTGGTTAACTTCCAAGTTAACAAGTTCCAAGTTAAGTCTTGATAACAGGCCCCATAACGGAGAGTGAGATAAAAAGGGGAGAAAGAGTGCTCATTCTCAGTAGCCCTCTAGATCATCACACCTTGAATCAGCCTAACTTCAAGTTAACAAGTTCCAAGTTAAGTCTTGATAACAGGCCCCATAACGGAGAGTGAGATAAAAGGGAGAAAGAGTGCTCATTCTCAGTAGCCCTCTAGATCATCACACCTTGAATCAGCCTAACTGCCTCACCATAGTCTCAGAAGGGTCGGTCTAGCTCCAAATCGCAGTCCTCTCACAGAGCCTTTTCCAGATGTGCCAGAGTGTGAAAAGCATATTAGGTGGAGTATCCCCTAACCTCTGACAGTGAATTTAGTGTCTCCTGATAGACGTTGGGTGCTGAATGGGAAGGAACCATCCTCCAGCATTTTGTCACTATTTTACTGTCCTTTCTTGGATCTGTGGAGGTAATACACAAGCTGTTCACAATGGATTTAGTATTCATGAACACCACTGAAGATGAAAGAATCTGATTCTGTTTGATCAAGTGTAGAGATCCTATATTAGGGGCAGGGCTAAAGAACTAAAGAAGTAATTGGTACATATCTTTCCCTTGTTACCGCCACCCCTGGAGTTTAGTGAATCTCCCAGAAATCCTTACTTTTCAGTAATGATGGTATTTTATGTCAAGTGCTTAAAGGCCAACTTCAACTACATGAAAAATAGGGCAGAACTGCAAAGCCTACCTAGGTACCTGACCTAGTATATATCTAGTGCTCACATTGTGGGGTGATCCTGTCAGTAAAGACTCATTCATTCATTCATTCAAAGAATGAAGTTAAATGAAAGCTCTACTATGTGCCAGTTACTGTTACAAGCTCTGAGAATACAACAATGATCAAAACAGATATTCTCTGTCCTCAAGGAGCTTACATTACAGTGGGACACAGTAAAGGGACATATAGTAATAAGTGATGTGAAGAAAAACAAAGCAAGGTAAGTGGACAAAAAGTGACAGAGTTGGCTTAAGTTTTAATTATTAGGGTAAGAGGCCCCTTCTCAATTGTGTTTAAGAGTCCAGAATTTAAGAATACCACTAGGGAAAGTTGGATTTGATTTGTGAGTTAACACCCCCTTAAAGATTTCCTTTTGTTCAGCATTGCTTAAGCAAGTGGGTTCTAAGACTATAGCACACCTTACAAGCACACTGCAATACCCCTTATCTTTTCTGGATGTTTTAATGTGAAGATACTTCAAGAAGTTCATGGAAAGATTAGTATCATCTTTCAATTCTATTTTTCCATGAACTTTTTGAAGTACGCTTATATACCACTTGTAGAGAACTGGACATTTTTATTTAAAGCAGTTGGCTTGAGCTGTACCTCCCAGAAAATTACCAGAGATGGTAAGATCTTAGAGATGTATGGAGAGTTTAAAAGTTGAGTTTTTGAAAGGACTTTAGAAGTTATCTATCTCATTGTTATACCCAAAGAAGGAATCTGTTCTATAGTGATAATTACTACTGGAAGATCCTAAGCACATCATGGGTATTCCTTTTGCCTAGACTACCCTTGTGCCTGGTCTCCTGATAAATTCTTATTCATTCTTCAAACCCACAGGACTACTTCTGTGCCTTGTATGTACCTAGCATTAACCTCCCTGTAACTTTTATTCTTTATTTCTATTAATAACTTCTGAAGCAAAATTCACATTTTAGGAAACATTTGCACACTATTGCTTGTGCTGTGGAGAAGCCACAGATTTTCTTAAAATATTTAGGAGGGGAGATAGGACAGACAATTTTTAACCGTGTCAATGCAAAGTAATCTACCTTACCAGTTTATCTCACCAATTTGTGGGAGGGATAGATGTAGGCAATGTACTTGAAAACTTTAGGGCACAGTCTGTGACTTATGACAAC